CCTGTTGAATGTTGTCAAGACGTGTAATTAGCCGACATCCATGTACAACATGACCTGTTGAATGTTGTCAAGAAGTGTAATTAGCAGATATTCCATGTACAACATGACCTGTTTAATATTGTCAAGATGTGAAATTCATCTTGCTACGTAGCGTGAAAATGGTTCGTAACCATGGTGATCAACCTGAGGAGATCGACGATGGAGGAAGTTGTTCTAAGGACATTGTTCTTTTGAAATACGATTAACCGTCACTACTTTAGGATATTTCTCGAATTGGGCTATAAGATGACGTAGAATGTCAAATCCATTCTTACATTTCTATCTCTTACTGTATATAATTGTCTAACATATTGTTAGACAGCTATAATCAGTTAACTACATCATACACACTACTATATGATGTCAACAACTGCTTGATAGCTTCTCAGCCAGCTAATTGTTCTCACATTTATTGATATTGGTATTTTCAACCTGAACGGCACCTTGTGCGACACATAAGCGTATAATCTGAATTGGACTTTAAACATAAGACTGCCATGAAAACTGGCACTTATACATTACAGGAGGAATTTTAGATAAATACTAATTAAAATCGTGTTGTTCAACCATCTTACTATGATTGGCCAAAGTAGTGTATCCATCTATCTGTCAGTTCATCCATCTACCTCCACATTTATCTATCTGTATATCTATTTGTCTGTCTATCTGTTAAGACGTTTGTTGGAAATAAATGAAAACTCGTGTATAACGAACGACTCTCTCCAATATGCTTAGCACGATTGATTTCATTGAAAATTATAGTTGGCCATTCTGTTGAAGGAAAATGGAAATTTGTGGCACATGTACTTCAGGACCTAAACTAATTCGCTTTTATTAAAAACGATTTTTTAATTATTTTATAAAGAAAACAAGCAAAACTAATTATTACTGTTTTTGAATATTTTTGTAAGAAAACTCATTTTAGAAAGACGAGTGTTTTTAATTTATTATTGTTTCAGGTAAAAGCGTCAATTATTGGTGTAAAACACAATGAAACATTTTTATCCCATATCGTAGCCTCCCCAAGAACAATATTTTAAATAACTTCTTAAACAACACAACAACTTGATAATTAATGAAACGTGTGTGTGTGTGTGTTTATGTAATGTTTACCTACATATACAAGTTTTTGTTGCTTAATAACAGTTTTATTTATATCGAACTTGTAAAAGCTGGTTTGATTGTTTTCAGTAAACTTTAATCAAACGTTAACTAGTCATTAATTACACACGCACTTTCTTACGTATGTTCTCACAAATATAGACAGATAAATGGTAGATATAAAGGTCAATAAATGAATAAGCTAGAGGGCTAATGTAGGTGGAAAGATAGATAAATACATAGTGTTTAACTTCATTAACAACACAACGTGAAATTGTGAAAAAAAATGTTTGTTAGGCCTCATTGTAAGACGCCATAATAATAGAAAAAAGAAAACACTTCTACAGTACAATTAATTTTAGCTTGCATACAACTTGTTTTGTAAACATAAAAAAAAGATTCTCTGTAATGATTGGCTAAGTTTTTTAACTCTTTCATTTTTGTCTACAAATACAAAGTGATTGTTTGTTTTGTTTGTTTTTGGAATTTCGCGCAAAGCTACACGAGGGCTATCTGCGCTTGCCGTCCCTAATTTAGCAGTGTAAGACTAGAGGGAAGGCAGCTAGTCATCACCACCCACCGCCAACTCTTGGGCTACTCTTTTACCAACCTTCACCTATGGTCATACAAAATCCAGATTGTCCAGAAACTTGAAGTATACTCCATGAGGAACTTCACCTGTGGTCACACAAAATCCAGATTGCCCAGAAACTTGAAGAAGCAAATTTTGGAAGGCGTTGGTTTTTTGATGAATGTAGAGAAGATGACAATTTCATTAAATTTTTTAATAGATGAAGATTTTAAGTAAGATTTTAAGAAGTAGACCTTTTGTACTAAACTCCCATGTTTTTACTTCACCACAATATCATAAAACATGCTTTTTTTATTCAGCTTTGTTGCGTTACAAAAATAAATATGTCATATATAAATGACTCACTTTGTATTTCCTCATGGAGTATACTTCAAGTTTCTGGACAATCTGGATTTTGTGACCACAGGTGAAGGTCCTCATGGAGTATACTTCAAGTTTCTGGACAATCTGGATTTTGTGTGACCACAGATGAAGGTCCTCATGAAGTATACTTCAAGTTTCTGGACAATCTGGATTTTGTGTGACCACAGATGAAGGTCCTCATGGAGTATACCTCTGGCACCTGTTCTACAAACAACACTTTCTACTGAAAGACGACGGATCGACTTCTTCCAATTGATGCAGCTATTGCAGCAATGTTTTCTTCTGTTCTCACTGTGGGTTGTCTCATGTGACAAACACTTCCCTCTTGACGAAGTGTTTTAACTTAAAGAGGAAATGGTGTTACAATACGAAGCACTTCTGCGTCGAAATTCCCTTTTGAAAGCTCCCTGAGTTGCAACAACAGAGCCATATTTAAAGTAGAATTCCACAATTATAATTCGTGTTGGCACATAATGACGATTCAGCATTCAAATCTTCAAGGGCTCACCTGTAACGGACGAAATATAAAATGATTCAAATTTATAATTATGATTAGAATTATCAAATAACAATGTGTCAGATATAAATGGCCCGCCCTGTATAACGGACGTATGAAGCAACTGTTTTAATAGTAATCAATTCGTGAGTAGTGTTTGTTTTTTCTTGTAAATACAATTTATGTTTGTATTGTGATCTTTGCTGTCGCCAAAACACGTCAATTGAGAGAAAATAATGTACACTCTACAGTTTGAGTTGTTTATGTTATGATATCAATGAGATAACACGTAAAATGTTTAAATTAAGCTAGTGAAATTAATCTCGTGAAAAACAAAATTCTAAGATTAAAATTCTGGGTTTGATCCTTGCTGTGGGTACACTTCAAATAGCCCAGTTGTGCAGGTTTGGGCTAAAATATACAAATAAGTGACCACTAATAAACAACAGTTAAGGACGATTCGAATTTTGGTGCCTTATTTGAACTTTATATTATTTTAATTGACGTGCTTAGGAATATCTATACAATTACTGTAAGAACGTATTCATTTTTCTGATCACCCAGCACGTTCTAGGGCAACGAGGTCGTCGATCATAGATCTAGGTAACTACTAACTAACCTTTGACTCTCTAGTCTATGATTACACAAGAGTATATAAAAGTGAGAGGACATTAAAAGTAATTTAATGGATCAACTTATACACAGTGTTATAATTTTGATATTATTTTTTTTTATTTTAGATATTTTAGCCTTTACTGTTTCTTTTGATATTCGTGGTGGGCAGAGCTTTGTATAGCTTTGTGTTTAACAACAACCAAACCAAACGTTTTGCTTTGTTAATATTGACTTCTGATAAAAAAAAAACAATCTATCTACAACGATAATAAATATTAATAGATACCTATTAATTAGCATAGTTAATCGGATATATTGTTCAAACTGTATTACCCATTAAACACTGTTATAACAGCTGGGTTCCCATGCTGTTAGCGATGTTATATTTTTATTTCTTTCGTTCTTATCGTAGAACAATTTACTATGGGGAATTATATATCAATCTAGATAAATATCCTATATCCCTTCTGTTTCTGATATGAACAAACACATTCGTTTGATTGATGTTTCACCCATCAGTATCGACATGCATGGTTGATGTTTTGGTACATCAACCATCAGTATATCGACATACATGGTTGATGTTTTGGTACATCAACCATCAGTATATCGACATACATGGTTGATGTTTTGGTACATCAACCATCAGTATATCGACATACATGGTTGATGTTTCGGTACATCAACCATCAGTATATCGACATACATGGTTGATGTTTTGATACATCAACCATCAGTATATCGACATACATGGTTGATGTTTCGGTACATCAACCATCAGCATCGGTATTCGTTCTTTAACTCATCCCTTTAAACCTCGGATATTTTGTTTCCTGTATTATTGAGCTGTTTTCGTGTAAAATGTTAAAATAATCTATGTGAGTGGAAAAAGTTGTCATGCGTGGACCAAATAAAAATTTAAAAGTGTGCTTGACTATATATATACATATATATATACGTGTGTATGAATGCACAAAAGATGTCGTTTCCTGGATTATATTTTTCCCCTGAGTTCACATTTAAAATGTTAGAAATATTTTATTTGGATTGACAAAGTTTTGTTAGCTGACTAGATTCGTCTATTTTAAACATGACTTAATTGTTTGAATTCTAAAGTCGTTAAGGCTCAAGTTTGTTTGTCGAAAACATTCTGCCTTTGATGCGCTTTCCAAGTGAATCTGGATTTTTTTTTTTTTTACTATAGGTAAGTTTATAGCATTTTCGCAAATTCCGTCAGTTCGTAAAAGTTATAAATTAAAAAGAAATTTATCTTCATTTAAGAATACCGCCATTAAAATTACCCGAAAATAACCCCAGTTGCACTGAATGAATTCACTAAAGTGCCCCAAGGACACGTACTGGATTTGAAGTATTCAATCTACTTCATAACATGTAAATATATGGTTTTGCATTTCAGTGATTTAAATTTGAAAGAATTTAGTCTGACGTAACTTAACAATACGTATTTCAAAGAAATTTCTCTGACAAGAAAAGTTAATTTTTTCGAAGCTGACATATAGGAACTTCATCCTGTAAAGCAGTGACGAAGGTTGGGGGAGAAGTCTTAGGTAAACGTGTGCAAGGCTTAGTTGCCAAAATTCGTGATGCTAGTGAACTAGAAAATAGATAAAAACGCAAAAAAATAAAAATTATGAAATGCGCAAAAAATTTATACACATAAAAATATCCAGGTTTATAGTATTTTGAGCGGAGAGTTGTATTTTTGTGTAAAGATAATGTAATAATTGTTTTGTTTTTTTGTCACAACTTCTGAGCCCCTGCTTTATTTTGCAGCTTCTGGAGGTTTGACTGGGCAACAGATTATAAGAGAAAGGTATGTATATATTACATTAAGTTTAAAACAAAGATTAATTAGGCTCAGTTTAACGATTACAAACGATAATTCATATTGTGTAATATCTGCTTTATTCCTTAAAACTTGTCGATATTTTAATTATTTGCTAGAGAAAAATCAAGATAGCAATACATATATCAATTAAATTAAAATTTCTCTCATCCGGTTATTAAATGTGAAATATGATTTAAAATATGTATCACACAAATTCACCAGATAGGCGTATTTTGAGTTGAATTAATGAGTTAAAACTTTATTTCAATGAGAAAAAAAATTAATCAGTAATGTATGAAATAACGAAGAACTCTCAAGCACTAAAATTAAATCTTGTCTAAAGTTGGTATAATGAAATAAGGAAGTTTCGTAAAAGAGAATTGAATTAATCATTTTTTAAAAGGCTGTAACAAAATAAAAAGTGGAAGTTGTACATACGAAATTGTTTACTCTATTCTTTGATTAACATTAAACAAAAAACTAAATTCTTTGCCAGTAAGGAAGTTTAGGAAACCAAAACGTCAAACTCAATCTTTGTAATTGCGGTTAGATCTTTAAAAGAATCTTACATACTAATCAAAAATATGAAACACACGCTCTCCAATAATACCGAAAAGCCCCCAGTGGCACAGCGGTATGTCTGCGGACTTACAACGCTAGAATCCGGGCAGAGCACAGATAGCCCATTGTGTAGCTTTGTGCTTAATTACAAACAAACAATAATACCGAATAATTTACCCTCTTGCTTTAGAAGTAAAGGTATTTATGACATCAGCAGTCAATAATATAATTGTTCTATATGTTTATCTTAACAATATTTTTACAACATTGTTCAGTTTTTTTTTTGTTACTCAATCGTGGTTTACCAACATTATCCGTATTGTTTGTAATTTTTAATAAAAGTGTCTCTAGTAGACTGAAAGTGGCCTCGTGGTTAGCGTGCCCGGATTGTTAATCAAGAAATTCGCGACCAGTTACCGCCAAAACGAGCTCCGTACTTTGGGACTGTGAGTGCGCTTATAAGATTGATGGTTAAATCTCACTATTTGTTTAGATAAAAGTAGCCTATGAGCTGGCGGTGGGTAGTGTTGACTAGCTGCCTTCCCTCTAATCTAGCAATTCAAAATTAGGGACTACTATGGGAAGATGACCTTTGGGTTCTTTTGCGTCAGAATTCTGAAATAAACAAACAACGATCTCTGGAAAAGTAACTTTTTAACGACATAACGTTTCTGTTCTCTGTTCATTGTCATGAAATGAACGTTTTTTTTAAATAAACCTTTTTTGCAATTAATCATGATATTTTTACTGTTAATGATTATAAATCAATTATTATCTTTATTCGTCTTTCAATGTGATTTATTTTTATAGCCCTTTTCTCGGTCTGTTTCTGCAATCTTATAAAAAAATTCGTTTTCCTATTCAACTGATGTTTTATTTCTTTCATGCTCAAACTTGATATTTCGTAAACAAAAACTTTTAACACAAATAGTTACAGCTAAATGTTGTTTTTATTTACGTCACCTTTACCTAATTTGTCCATTAACGTTGTTAATTTTGTGTTATTCTTTACTGATTTGTTTCAATAAGAAACGTATATTCCACCTCAGGTTAATTTCTCTTTTATTATCTGACATTAAGTTATATTGTCCAGAAGTTAGAGTATTAATTTATTTTTTAATGTCCTTCGTCTCTATGCTTGGCCTGACATAGCCTGGTGGTTAAGACGCTCGACTCGCAATATACGGGATGCGCTCTCGAATCCCTGTCACCGAACATGCTCGCATACCTTTCAGCTGTGGGCAGACAGAGTATACAGCTTAATAATATAATGCACTGGTAACTTCGCGATTGCAAACAGGCTTACATTGGAGGTCAGTTAGCACCTGCATTCAATCTCCCACTGCAGTTCATTTAGCAACCGAATACAAGCTCATTGTTCTGGTCTCTTAACAACTGCATACAAACTCACGGTGCAGGTCAGTTAACAACTGCATTCGAGCTTATAGCGAAGAACCCTTAACAGCTACATACAGGTTTACAGTGTAGGTCACGTAGAAACCACACACAAACTTACAGTGTAGATCACTTAGCAACCACACACAGGCGAACAATGGAGATCACCTAGCAACTGCATAGAGGCTTACAGTGTAGGTCACGTAAAAACCACACACAAACTTACAGTGTAGATCACTTAGCAACCACACACAGGCGAACAATGGAGATCACCTAGCAACTGCGTACAGGCTTACAGTGTAGGTCACGTAGAAATCACACACAAACTTACAGTGTAGATCACTTAGCAACCACACACAGGCGAACAATGGAGATCACCTAGCAACTGCGTTGAGGCTTACAGTGTAGGTCTTTTAACAGCTGCACCATGGTTACAGCATAGATCACTTAACAATTGTATACATGCTCATGTGTTGGCCACCCAATTTAATATTAGAGTCATTACCGTTTATTTGATAAATTGATAAAGATTATAACTATTTAGAAATAATTTATATTTGTATTTATGGAATTTTAAAGTAACCTAAACTAATTTAGATATGTGAACTTAGTACTGTTATTGTTGGTTTACAGGAATATTAAATTGCAATTGTATAGTATTTTCACAATGTCTATACTAACATTGTTTACTATCTAAACAAACTTAGTATTGTTATTGTTGGTTTACATTAATATTAAAGTATAAATGTACAGTATTTTCACAATGTCTATACCAACATCGTTTACTATCAAACAAACTTAGTATTGTTATTGTTGGTTTACATTAATATTAAAGTATAAATGTACAGTATTTTCACAATGTCTATACCAACATCGTTTACTATCTAAACAAACTTAGTATTGTTATTGTTGGTTTACATTAATATTAAAGTATAAATGTACAGTATTTTCACAATGTATATACCAACATCGTTTACTATCAAACAAACTTAGTATTGTTATTGTTGGTTTACATTAATATTAAAGTATAAATGTACAGTATTTTCACAATGTCTATACCAACATTTTTACTTATTTCTAAATCTCTTTCTTATCCAGGTGGTTACACTCAGCTTTTCATCAGTCAAACAGGGATGGGCAAGGAACTCTTGATGATAAAGAAACGATTGCCTTAGTAAAGAAACTAAATAATCACATGAATTCTGTGTCCGTGAGACAAAAAATAATGGTATGTATTTCAGTATTCTCAATTTTTGGTAAAAACGTATTTTTTATAAGTTAAATATTCAGTAATAGTGAAATAATCTAATAATTATACTGTCAAACATTTTTTAAAAGTTGCTGCGAAGTTACTAGAAAGAATTAAAGAATACTGCCAGTTTAGTATTGCAAAACAAGCTATCGCTAAGACCTTGTTTATGTATGTATGCATATAATACATGTAAGTATTTGTATTTATATATGTAGCTTATTTAGATTCATCTGCATACTGAAGTTAGATTTGTACTGGCTTTTCACAAGTACGCTTATAATGTATAGCTTGTCCTATGACGATAGCATAGAGCGGAGATTATTTTATAACGTCGGAGTTACAACAAAGATTTTAGTGGTAATTAACGACGGGTTTTAAAATAAAAGTTGAAATACTATACAGAATTTTCTTTTGAGTCTTGGTTTTAAGGAGACTACTCAACCGAATATTTATTAATTATTGGACAGTTTTTACCTTCTTAATCAGTTATTTTGAAATACAGTGCTGAGTACGTTGTATTAAAACGCAAATCAGTAAGTTACTTTACAATTACAATTGATGTTAAGTCATAGTGTAACGGGTTGTATCAGAATTACATTTTAACGTGGCCTTACGTTATGTAGGTTAGTATCATGCCACCAAAAGTGATCGCTTTTGAAAAGGGTATGTAACTGTCCTTCCCGATGCAAAGTATTCATACGCTCAGGTCATAAACATTGTGCTCAGGTTGATTATTCACAATTTCTAAGAACAAATGAATATGGAGCAACTTGGAGGTCCAGGACTATTCGAAAGCGACCTACAACAAGGCATACCTCAGCCAAGGTAAGCAAAGTCTTCTAATAGGTGAAACTCCACGAACAGAGAGGTGAGTGGCAGAAGCTGCCACGTTTCCCAAATAACAGCACACAACATAATCAAGAAGGATCTGTGTCTGATGAAGTGAAACAAGTCAAGTATACAATATACATACTGCTTCCACGACAGATCTCTTCAACCAAAGCACACCTCAAGCAGCTGGAGAAGGAACGGGCATTCACACTATTCCATAAAAAGACATATTAGTCAAGTCGTCAAATGCAGTACCTACAAATTTCCGTGCATTTGAAATTGGCACTAGAAAAGCGTCTTTCTCGTGCACTAGATGGCTTATGGAAAGCGTGTAGGGAGTAGGGACGTGCTTTGGACACAATTTCCTTACGATAAAGTCTTTTCAGATGGAATTTACGATGCAGGGCTATAATCAAAATGCATGTTCGTCAGATAGAACATGATTGAACTTGACGATATCGGACTGTGGCGATGTGGCGGGACTCGGGAATCGTTTAAATATAAAGTAATCAATCTCTGTAGTAAAGATTTAACAAAAGTGATATATTGTTTAGTTTTATGTGTATGTTTTGGGGCATTTATCAGTCACACCATGCTTTTTGAGTAAGAGTGTCTTTAGCTTGATTAGAAGAGAAAGAAATAATTTTTTGTATTAAAGTAATGAATTGTTTTAATATACGATAATGTGACGTTCATAACAAAACATTATGGTGTTGTAATTACCATTGAAATTGGGAACTTAATATACAATTGTTGTTTTGCTGTGTTGCGTTTGTTCAGTTTAGTAAAGTCGTAATGGTATAATAAGATGGTGAGTACACTTCAGTCTAATATATTCATATCAAACATTTCTTCAGTTTATTAGGCTCGTGAAAGTATAATGATAAGTTGATTACATACAGCTAAGCCTTATACTAATAAGATAACATTTTGACCATAACTACAATATTAACGTGAGAAATAACGTTTAGATCAGTAGCTATATATTAGTGTATGCCCAGAGTTAATGACAGCAATTAACTCAGTTTTGACGTAATAAAGAAACAGCTGGCAATGTAATGTGTAACGACACAAAAGGTATAGGTGCTAGGCTTTTGAAATGTTTGTGTTTATAATCTAAGCTTACATGTTAACTGTTCCACTGCTGTGGGTACATATATATGTGCCCCCCTTTAGAGTGCCTATTGTCTTGCAAGTTTGGAATTTTTATACAATCTTGAAGAAAGGATATCCCTCCACCCTTGAACCTTTCCTAAGTTTACCAGTTTTAGATAAGTAATGAAATATTAAAAAAAGAGTTACTGCTCTTGTATATTGTGTATCTAAATATAGAACTGGTAGTAAAAGAGACTATGTGGTAGTCATAACGCCACAATTCCCTTGTAATTATTACCTAAGTACTCTTGAAAAGACTTACATAGCTCAAATAAAGACAGTGTTAATTTTTACAGGTTGTGGCAGTCAATGTTTTTATATAATATTAACCAAAATGATATCGTATATAAGTTAATAATGTCTTAGTTGTTAGTGTGCTTTAATGAAAAAATAGAATCACGGCGCATCGATTATGCAAAAATAAATCTTTCAACAACATTAATACGTCAATAACGTGTTACTGTTAGGTGATTACAAACCTCTCCCTCAGTCGTATTGCCAATTAGATACTTTATAAAAGAAATTCATTTATCAATGCTCCCCTAGTGTACCAACTGGTGGTTTTTAAACGCTGCATAATAGTTCTGAAAAAGGCGGCGTAATGCCAATTAGAGACTTTATAAAAGAAATTCATTTATCAATGCTCCCCTAGTGTACCAACTGGTGGTTTTTAAACGCTGCATAACAGTTCTGAAAAAGGCGGCGTATTGCCAATTAGATACTTTATAAAAGAAATTCATTTATCAATGCTCCCCTAGTGTACCAACTGGTGGTTTTTAAACGCTGCATAATAGTTCTGAAAAAGGCGGCGTATTGCCAATTAGATACTTTATAAAAGAAATTCATTTATCAATGCTCCCC